ATACCACGTGGACACCCTTTTACCTTCGGAACTTCCCTCGTGTAGCCCACGCGACTTTTATGAAACAAAAAACTTAAAACGAGACAGAAACAAATTTCCATACCTTTGCTTTATTCATCACAGTAAAATTGACATCGTCTATTGTATGTATTTTATTGCCAAGCTTCATAACTCACCCTCCCAAAAATCTGCCATAGCCTCTATGACCTATAACCTGCCCTCTAAAGACGTTTTCTATTTAATTTCAGACCGTATGGAAGGGAATAATGGACACCAAGTATGACAAAGAGGTCAATAATACCTACTGGGCAATAAACTACGAACGTGCTCATGAAATGTTTCCTAAGTAAGTGGACTTTAAAAAGTACAAGACACCTTTTTTATATGTGCTGACAGTGATTTGATGTAAAGGACTAACTCTTAATCTCCCATCCGTCTTATAAAAAGTATTTTCCAAGCTGCATGTCAGGTATGAGGTATTCTACAGTTTGACTTTTATTTACAGGGTTAAAAAAGAAATCAAGAGGAAAACACGCGACCCTGCACTTACCTTTCTGAGGAAAATACAACAGCAAAGAAAAGTTCGCACTAAGAGCCCAAACTCACAACGACATTAGACTTATAATTGACGTTTTGGTCTTCCCGCGAAAAAAAATCCCATTTTCAACGCCTGTTCAGTAAGGCAAATAGTATTGTTTACTATAAACGGCCAGAAGACGTTTAAATAATACTAGAATGAGGTGATACTATTCACAATTAGAAAGGGCCCCTGAGAACGCAGTCCTACACCAAGGACCCTGAAGTGGTAAAGTGTGGTAGGGTGGAGGCATCCACAGAACAAGGTCAAGGTCATCGGCCCTGTTTCACCATGGCGAAGGAACTTTTTAAAAAATCTTGGATCCAGATGACGATCCTGATATCTGAGCACCTCCAAAATCTAATAATTTCTGGGCTACCCTAAAAAAAGGCCATTTATATCCATGCATCCATACCTTTTTCGGTTAGGGAGCTGACAAACAAACAAAATATCAAACAAACAAAAAGACAGACAGTCAGGCAGACGGACAGACAGACAGACAGACGGAAGTGAAAACATAACCACCCTGGTATTTCCATAATGATCATTATGATCATTATTCCAGTCTTGACCTCTGCGTGGTAGAGAAAGCACAGCAGGTGGTGAGCGAATGGATTGTACATTTAAAGGGATAATAACTGTTCGTTTTGGCGAAAAAAAATGAATTTTCCCGGAGTAAACAACAATTTTTCCATACTTACCAATGGTTAACTAATCCATTTCTACATTCGAGGTTAGTCCCTTTTTTTTTTTTTTTTTTT